CATCGAGGCAGCCGTGACAGTAGCTCAACGTTAGGGTTTGTACCTAGATGTCCCCGCAAAGCCTCATGTGGTCATAGACTACTTTGGAGCTGGCTGGATCTGGAGTGTGAGATTGATTCGTGGTGGGGCTAGGCCCTAGGGCTCTAGGATTAGGGGTATGAGTGCTACTCACTCTAAGTTGTCTGACTAAGATAAAAGGGGCAGGGAGACACCGTTAAGTTCTCTTGTTGCTTTTGCTACTTTCTGATCACCATGGACTGTTTTTCCTCTGCAATGGTGGCCTGCCGTGTTCCACTCTCCCGTGGAGCCAGCTGATTCTGGTTAAAACCTCTACAAACTGTGAGCTAAATAAACCCCTTCCCCTCTAACTTTGGATGCCAAGTGTTTTGTCTCAGCAATGAGAGAAAAGTCACTAACGCTCATGAAAGAAGCCTTCCAGGACTGCTTCAGGAAGTGACGACAATGATAGGATAAGTGTGTTCGGAGCAAGGATAAGTACGTGGAGGGGGATTGGTGGCAATGTGTCTTTTATTGCGATACACTTTGTTTAAACATGTGAGCACGCACTGTACTTTTTAATCATACCCATCAATGCCTTAAGGTAGGAGTTATTATGACCACCATTTCCGCATGAGATTCTGAGCCCCGGGTTCCGATGAAGGACGTCTAAGGTCAGAATACAGGGTATGGAACAAGTATCCTGGCTTCAGGGACCAAGCCTGGACCCTTGTCACGTGGCCTGTTCCCACACTTGGCTGACTTCATCCTCTGAGGTTTTCAGGCTGCAATCTCGTACTTTCTCTTTTAACTAAAATGCTTAGGTTGTACTTATACTACAGGAGCAATGTAGGTTCAGTGAGATATCACTGGACAGGAAAGCGGAAAAACGAAAGTGTTTTGTGGTTGTTTGTTTTTAAGCTACACAACTTTGGATAGATCCTTCACCCTTGCTTTATCTCAGTTGTTTTGTTTCATTTTTCCGTTATGGAATTAGTGAAATGAGTTGATTGCTAAGATTCCTTCTTGCTCAAACTTTCTGTAAAATCTAAGTGGCAGATTTCTTTTTAGAACTCATAATAGGACAAGACAGTTCTGGGGTAATGCCACACTTAATGAATGTACCAAGATTGTAGCCCGGGGAATTAACAGCATTGAGAAACTCATTCACTGCCTGCCTCTTCTTTATCATTTCCTGAGACCACGGATACTTCCTTCACTGACTTATCCTCTCTTAGAGGGCAGTCGAGGTCCTCCCCTCTAATTTGATCCGGGCCCCATCTCATTTACATTGATTACTTTGATGGGTAGATTTGGTCTGTTTGGCTCCAGTAGAGCCACGGTGAACTGTAACTGTCCCATATTATGCTAACAGAAGATAACTCTCAGGATGCTAATCCGAGAATTCCTCCAATCCTGGAAAGTAAAACTGAAGGCGAGTGATTCCACGCTGGACCTCAGATAGCCTACCATGCAGATACAAGTCCTTATGAGGTCCTCAGAACACGTCCTCAAATCCCAGCAAAGACTTTTCTCTTGATTCTCTGTCGTTTTGGAGCATTGTCTCTTTGAGGCAGGAGAAGTTCTCAGATCCTTCATCTCTTCTCCTTGTGGAGGGATACCACTGAAATATGACAGTAAACAGTGGCAGAGTAAATGAGAACTTTCATTGGATTCATTCAGACGTGGGTTCAAGAACAGGTCTCTAACTGTGTGACTTTGGGGAAATTACTTAACCTTTCTGAGGCGTACTTCCTTTATTTGTCAAACATGTGTTAGAAGAATCTGGTACCTGGTTAATGAATATCTGTGACTCAATTCCAGCAGCTGTGTGTTACCCATCCCTCTGTTCATTCCCTCCGTTCAGGCATATATAGCACCTGCTCAATGCTTGGCAGTAGGCACATGGCATCGAATAAGAAAAATCTGTCATCTTGCTCTCATAAGTAAAAATGGACAAAGAACTAAAGAAAGATTGTGCATATACTATTAGAAAGTTTAAAATTCTGCAGAGAAAAATAAGACATGAAAACAGAATCAGGAATGGCCAGGATGAGGGAAGGATGTCATAATGAGGTAAGAAGGACTCATGATCGGTCAGTTCATTGCCCGGGTAAACACCACTTGAACACCTCATAAGGCCTTTGCAAAGCACCCCCATCCTCCTTGCATGTTTGGGGAGAGATCATCGGGTGTCATAGCTCCCATCTGTTATGCAAAGGCAGGGTTGGTGCCCAGGTCTGTCCAGTATCTGTTCTGCTATGCCAGCACCCGTTGCCCCTCTTGCCCTGGGTGTCACCATGCCAGCGGGAGATGCTCCCGAGGAGAGCTCCTCATGTTTCCTTTCTGTGTACTGGGCCCCCTGCTGCAAACATGTGCTGCACCCCTCAGGGGACAGAGCCAGCGTTTATGAGGATCTGCTCTCAGGTGTGTCTACTGATTCATCTTGCCTTACAGTTTCTCCTTTCCAAGTCATGGTAAATGCACTCATTTCAAAACAGCAAAACCAGGGTCAAACACCTGATTCTTCTCTGCTAGATGGTACCCAGACTCTGGGCCTCTGCCATCTTCTCCTAGGCCAAAACTAAGTTTTGGCAGCTCCTGTGACCCCAAAAACTTTTCTGCAATCTGGAGAACTGGATGTCTCTATTTAGTCATAATAAACCAAAGCATATATTTGAAGCTTATCAGTTTTTGAATGCAGTAAGTATAGAAACCAATCTCCCAATGCCATGAATATTTTATCTTGGAGATGACTGCATAAATATTGTATTTGAATATTATGGCCTGGGACATCACATTAAAATTGCAAGACCATACTATTACCCATATAATGGAACATGAAATTAAAAAGCTGAGCCACAGAAGGGAAAGCTCGTTAAGTCTCCTCACCTGTATTTCTTTTCTCCTCTCTCCACCCAGTCTGGTTTCCATGTAACTTTGCATACAAGTTTTCTAAAATGTAAAGTTCCAATCATAGTCATGCAGCAACTGAACATTCTTGTATAATTAGCACCAGCCAGAACTGAAGTAGGATTTCATTTTTCCGGAACACAGGGGCTTCTTGTAATTGCCCAGTCATGTCTTCATGAAAAACCTTCACTAAGCCCCCTCCCCAAGCTAGACCATCACTTGCTAATGAGCCTGGGATTTGCATGGGGGAAGGTGTGTTAAAGAAAGAAGACCCAGGATGTTGGACACTTGGATCTTCTGTTTGCTTCTACCTTTGTGTAGTCATCTCTGTGTCCTTCTGTGTGTCATCCACCATCTCTGGGCTTCTTTGTGTGCATGTGAGCGTAATGCTCACCTCACACCCTCTTCACAAGCATAATGGAGTGAGTTAGAGAAGGTCACAGCTGGAATTATGACTACGGACCTATGGGCAGGATTCAGCCTGAGATTAGGGTGCTTTTTAAGCTAAAGACACCTTTTTAAGGGAAGGTGAGTGCTTTTCAAAACATTCACACTCTACTCTGCAGGCAGAACCACCTCTCCCCACTGTCTTGATTCAACTTGATTCACAGCCTCCATGGCCAATCTGAACCCTGTAGGCATTGAGCTTTATAACCAAAATCTAACTCAACTTTTCAGTTATACCAAGGGGGAAACAGACTCAGGATCCCTCGATTTTTGAAGTCATCCATCTCAGAGTGAGCCATTCAGGCCGGTACAAAAGCTTTGACTGGAAGGTTGTGCGTGGCAGCTGGACATGGCAGAGGGAGGCTGTGGTGGCACTGATGTGGAGAAGCAATCATACAGAGCATCGTGGACAAGGGCTTGGAAAATTCAGGTTCCTGGGCATGTGTGGCTCAGCGCATTGGAGGGACAAAAAAGTCCCAGATGGTAATCTCCTCATGGTAACTGGCTCTGTGGAGCAGAGATTCTCCTTGTGTCTGGCACACAAGTGTGCAATGAGTGCTTGCTTCAGTGAACTTGGGAGTTTGGGCGGGATTGGTTCTCGCTGTGTCCACCCTCCTAGCAGGTCCACTCATCACCTCGGTGACCTTTCTGCATTGCAGAGTAAGAAGGGCAGCCTTCCTTGCACAATTCTAAATGTGATTATTATATAAAATATACTTACTAGGGAAGGAATTTCTAATCTGTGGGCTTACAGGGAGAATGTGGGGGGTCATGATTTCAGATGGGAAGCAGATAATATCCTTGAAATATAACTGAAGGTAGGTACCAACACTGTGGTAGTAGTACTGGCAGCAACCAAATCTGTCACCAGTAAAAATCACGTACTTTCAGCCAGACACAGTGGCATATGCCTGTCTGTAATCACAGCTACTTGGGGGGCTGAGGCAGGATTGCAAGTTCAAAGCCAGCCTGAGCACCTTAGCAAGAGTCTGATAATCAATCAATCAGTCAAGCTGGGAATGTAGCTCAGTGGTAGAGCACCTCTGGGTTCAATCTCTAGCATCATGCATGTGCGCGTGCGCACACACACACACACACAATCACTTTCCTATCACATTCCGCTTGGTGCAGACACCTCTAAGTAGCATTTATGCCCACTGCACTCCCAAAGTACATTATTAGATTTGCCCTAGCACTTTGTCCTCAATGTGTTAATAAAAATGAAACAACATGAATTTGGCATTTTCCAAAATACTTTGTAATGTGGGAAGCAACACACACGGTACTGTATCATATCTTTGGTGTAGCTCTGCTGCATATCTTGCTGTATGCATTCTGAAACACTCTTCTGGGATAAGAGCCCCAGGCTGCAAGTACTGAACTGCTCAGCAGCACTGGTACAAAAGAGCTTTGAAAAGTGCACTGAAGAGCAAGTAGTTTCAGCTGATAATCATTGCCATCTCAGGGTGCTGGTCAAGTCCCCCTGCACTCTGTAAGTTTTCATAACCGTAGTACTTGTCTCAGTACCTGGCACACAGCAAGGTATCAATCAATGCTGTGATTGCTGTGCTGGTATCATTTGGGCTCTAGGCAGGGCCTCTTTCAGGCCAACTTTGGGCTCAGTGCTGCCTTCTTGCCTCCAGGTTCATTCGGAAGCAAGGCCTGGACCGGCTCTTCCTGGAGTGTGATGCCCACATGTGGCGTCTGGGGGACCGGCGTATCCCTGAGGGTATCACCGTGGATGGTGGCTCTGATTGGTTCCTGCTGAACCGGAAGTTTGTGGAGTATGTGACATTTTCCACAGATGACCTGGTGACCAAGATGAAGCGATTCTACTCTTACACCCTGCTTCCTGCTGAGGTAAGTTCCAGGAAAACTTCCCTGAGACAGGTTGGAGCTGGCATTGGCATGGGGTGGAAGGGACTGAATGTTTGACAAAGTGATGCTAGTCCCCACTGCTGCTCTCCAAGCATCCAGATGAGGATGGAGAGCTACATCAGCTGTCAGAGACCTTGCGGTCCCAACAATGTTCCTGGCCCTCTCCAGGCTGCATGGAGGCCACGGCCATAGACATCAACAGTAACTTGCATGGTGTCTTGTACAAGGTACAAAAAGCAGCTCAAGATTCTCAGCCCTATTGAGAGTATTTAGAAAAACTCCAGGGAGCTTGAAACTACTTTTCAGACTTGAGGATGGAAGGCCCCACTATGTAAGGTAGAAGACTCTTCCCACGCCTCCAGGAAATGGTATGGATCTGGTTCTGAAAGGTTGTCACCAGCATGCCACACCTCTCACCGGTATATAGGGCAGAGCCCAGCTCCAGGGAGGGCTGGCTGCCCACATCACCCCAAAAGGATATTGTTCTTGTCATCACTGGGCCAGGTTTTACTATTCTACACACATGTTAAGTAATCAGCTTTTAATCCTGTTTCACTGAAAATCACCTTTCTCTCAATTTTGATAACCTCCTTATCCATTATCTCTCGGGAAATTTCTGCATCATTATGAAAGGACCCGGGGCAATCGGTAATTGGGTCCTCACCACCACTTCTTGATAGGGAGTAGATGCCTCCATGGGCTTCGAGACGATTCAAACTTAAATCCAGGCTCCCCAGCATGCCATTTAGCATTTAGAAAGGCTAGCAGGGTGTAGTGGGTGGAGCTTCATGTTGCCCAGCCACTCACTCAGAAGAGATTGTTGGGACTTCGGTTGTTTTCATCAGGAGGCCTACAACACTGCAGCTGGCCACAGCATTGTGTGCCCTCTCTGTGCCTCCCCTGCCCCAACAGACACACGCACACGTGTCCGGCGTGTCTGTTAGACTGTCTTTCTCCATCGCTGCATCCCTACTGTGTCCTCCCTTTCCCAGATGCCTCCTGCAGGCTAGATTAGAAAAAAGCTGAGAGCTGCCCATAAACTTATGAGACCGACACCTATACCACAGCATCTTTCCTTAGAGGCTAGAGAGCAGGGGAAATATGTTTTCTGGTGGCTGAGATTGCTGCAAAGTAGGGTTGAAATGGAAATCTCTTTTCCTCTCCTTCATCCCTCTCAATATCAGCAGCTCAAACCATTGTGCCTCTTTGGTCGCTCTTTTCACTCAGTGGTCTCCGTCTCCAATGCTTTGGAGAGGTTGGCCGGGGATCCTAGGATCAGGGAGAGACGATTTGAGGTGGTTCCGCATCGCAGACAACAAGCAGGCTTGTAGTCACACTGTGCGGGCCCGATGGCTGGTTCAGCACCTCGGACAGCACGCACCCCCACCCTTCCCTTGCTCGCAGTCCTGTGCCGGCACCTAGTTTAGCACCACGGACAGCACCTGGTCTGGCTTCCCTAAGCAGTGGTCACACTGTGTGAGTGATCAAGGCAAATGAGGGCTCAGGATCTCTTTCAGATCTGGATCTGTCCTCCCTCACCCAGGGGTAAAATTCTAGCACATTAGCCATTACTACCAAGCTATTTCTGGTCTGAAGCCCTTTAGTTTCAGATCTGGCTCTCTGCAAAGCAAGGCCATTTTAGCCCAAGGTTTCCTGGAAAACTTTTCTCTGTATTCGGTTCAAATGTGTCAACCCCGAGAGACATCTCCCATCTGCTGGAAAGACAGCAGATGCCCTGCGTGGTGAGAGATGTATGGAAATCACAATGGAGATACTGGGGACAACAGCCCCCAGCGTAGACTTCTGGGAAGAAATCAGCCACCCTAGACACAGCACGGAGCTGCGCCGGAGTGGGCTGCGTGCCTGCTGACTTCGCTGCCTCCAGGGAGCAGAGGGGCTCCAGGAGCTTTTTCACAGGTGGAGGCACCAAGGAGGGCCACAAGCCCAGCACATGTGGGAAAGCTGGGGGAGGGCTCCCGCTGACCCCTCCTCTCCCTGCAGTCCTTCTTCCACACAGTCCTGGAGAACAGCCCCCACTGTGACGCCGTGGTGGACAACAACCTGCGTATCACCAACTGGAACCGCAAGCTGGGCTGCAAGTGCCAGTACAAGCACATCGTGGACTGGTGCGGCTGCTCCCCCAACGACTTCAAGCCCCAAGACTTCCACCGCTTCCAGGTGAGCGCACGTGCCCTGCAGCACACATCTGCAGGTAGCCAGGTCCACGCCCCGGGATCTTGTCATTCCTCACTGCCCCACCGTGGGCTTAGTAAAAACAGTAACAGCTTCAACACCCACCCCGTTTAATTGCACCTGTGTGCTCCATGCCAGGAGTAGGAGGCATTTTCCATCTGTGGAACATACAGCAGATTCCTTGGGTGTTGAAACTGGATTCTAGATCGTGGTCCTCACCATTTTGTCTGGGAAGCCTCATTAACTCCACAATCTCACAGTGTATTTTATTCCATCTCAAACAGAGAAACCGAACCACAGAAAGGTCAGAAACCACAGACGAGGTCATATAGCCCAATGTGTCTGTTTCCTAGGGCCTTTCTCATCTACTTTTCAAAACTTCCTTTAGATCAGAACTCTCTGGAAGCTGGGCATGGTGGCACATGCCTGTAATCCCAGTGCTCTAGGAGGCTGAGGCAGGAGGATCACAAGTTCAAACCCTGCCTGGACAGCTTCTCCATTTAGCAAGACCCTATCTCCAAATTTTAAAATACATTAAAAGAGCTCAGTGTGAAGACTTTAGCTTCACTTCCCCAATACTGCTAAAAAAAAAAAAATACCCTGAAACATTTGTTAAAAACATTTCTGAGTATAAATTCAACAATATCAAGGGCAGAGCTTTTCAACCCCGGCACTCGTAATGTTGTGGCCGGATCCTCCTGGGCTGTGGGCCTGCCCTGCGCATCACAGAGTTCAGCATCTCCCCTTTGCTCTGCCCAGTAGGCACCATTAGCACCCTCCAGTTGTGAGCAACAAAACTATTGCTAGATGTTCCTTGGGGACAAACTCGTCCCTGGTGGAGAACCAGTGATCTCCAGCAAGGTTCCAAAGTGTGTATCTTTGTTGTGTTACACTTTAGAAAAAAAATCTGATGAGCCGCCACACTCAGAAATTGCCTTGCTCTGTGCACGTGAAAGAACAGCAAGCTACAGGGCCATTATTACCTTCACAGCTGTCTCTGCACAGCCTGTCAGTTTACATTTCTGAGGATCACGGAGGCGGGAGGGCAGGAAATGCCTCGGCTTCCAGGTCCTGCCGTTCCCCTCTCTCTCGGTCCCTCCTGGACTCACTGCAGCAGGCCTGTCAGTTAGAGGAAGGACCCCTAGCCTCCGCCCACCACCCCCAGGGCAGCAGTGTCTGTGTTCCGGGCCTCAGTGCCCTGGGGACATTGTGGTTTCTGATAAAGCTTGGCCCACTTGGAAAGCACATCCAGTGCTCACAGCTTTCTCTCGCAGTAAGCAAAGATCAAGAATATCCTCAGACATCTAGAATCAAGTAACTGCTGCCTATAAGGAACTTGGTGTTCTTGTTCAAAGAGCTCCGAGGAAGAGAATGATAAATATAGAAACATGCCCCTTTAGAAGATCAGGCTATGATCAGAGAATTGCAAAGCAGAGTAAGGAGGCTTTCAGGCCACTGAGGCTGTTTTTCTTCCCCCCTCCCCCCGGAAATGAGTTCTTACAGTCCCCTGGATAGACCGGTGCCTAGTAGCAAATGGAAGTAGTAAAGATAATAATCATCTAATAATAGTGGTTAATCCACATTGTATACCTTCTGTGGGTGTGGGTGTGGGTGTGTGTGGTACTGAGGATTGAATCCAGGGCCTTCACACTGAGCCACATCCCCAGCTCTTTATTATTTGTTATTCTGAGACAGGGTCTCACTGAGTTGCTAAGTTGCCCAGGCTGACTTGAACTGGAGATCCTCCTACCTCATCCTCCCAGAGTGCTGGGATGACTTAGCTTACCCATTTCCCAGATGAGCAAACCAGAGCAGATAGGTGACTTGCCCAAAGACATACACAGCTAAGCAGAGGATTGGCACAAAGTAGCAAAGAGTTTGAATTCAGGTGTTCCAACTGCATTCAGTGCTATCGTCAAGGAACCAAAAGGACTCCTACCCTACAGAGAGGGGGACCCAAGGTTCAGGAAGCAGAGGGACATGGGGTGTTTAGAGTAATACTAACGGCATTGTTATGGCTCATGTTTAGATGTCCCCCAAAGCCTCATGCTTTTTCAAAGGTGGCTGAAGCTAGAGTATGTGATTCATGCTAGGCCTGAGCCCACTAGGATTAAGGGTAGGCGTGCTCCCCACCCTAAGTAGTGTGGGTAAGATAAAGGGGCAGGAGGATGTTGTGCAGGCCCCTCGTTGCTTTTGCTGTCTGCCACTACCATGAACAGTTGCCTCTCTGCCTCCCTGCCTTGGAGCCAGCTGACTCTAGACTGCACCCTTCATGATGTGTAAGCCATATCAACCTTTCCTCCTTAAACTCTGAGTGTCAGGTATTTTGTCTCAGCATCAGGAGCAAAGTAACTAACACAGGCATGTATTTTTCCTCCGGAGCATCCAGTCTGCTCAGTTAGCTTGATCATCCAGTGGAGCCACAGAGAGAGCTCTGGTTTCGGAGTAATGTCTCGGTATGGAACTGTGAGTTGTGTGTGTAGCGCTTCCCTCCCTGAGCCTGGTGTTCTCACCCATAAAATGGGAATATCAGTACCTAAGCTTGCTGGGTTGCGGGAGGGCTGAAGGCAATGACATAAATGCAACACTCTGCCTACAGGGAGTGCTTAGCCCTTATTATGGTCACTGTTGCTATTAATTCACTGAAATGTAGACAGCGCTGGGCCAGATTTAGGTCCATAGTAACAAAGCTCCTCAAGGGGCTGGGCCGTGTTTCATCTGTCTCTGAAGTTCTAGACCAAGGGTCAGCAAACTCCAGGCCCCAGGCAAAAGCCCTGCCTGCTTCGGTAAGTGAAGTTCCATTGGCACAGAACCGATGTGCTCTTCCACTGGCACAGAACTTTTTGTACTGTTTCACCTATGGCTGTTTTCCTGCTACAAAAGCAGAACTGAGTAGTTTAAAACCTGTACCTAGTTGCTATCTGGCACTTTACGGAAAACATTTGCCAGTTCCTACCCTAGAAAATAGTGTACCTGGTAGGTGGCAAGTGCTCAGTTTTTTATTTCTTTGGCCTTCCAGCCTAAGGCTGAATCCCGGCTGTGTCGCTGACTTGCTGCGTGTCCTTGGATAGATCCCTTGCCCTCTCTGGGCCTATTTCTGTCAGTCCTCGGTTTCCACCCATGTCCTTAAGGTCTGTATCAGCTTCCTGGGGATATTTTTTCCTTTTGGATACATGTTTCTGAGCTTTGCCCAAGTGATCACTCAGTGATCAGTAAATCTCAAGAAGGACCTGAAAGAAGGATCTGAATCTGTAAACGGTTGCAGTGGCTCTAATGTGTAAGCAGCAACTTGGTCTTACTTGCATCATCCTCAAATCTTAGGGGGCAAAGGACTCACCAGGAAAGCCTGGAAAAACACACTTCCCAGCTCACTCCCAGGGATTCTGATCAGCATACCCGTGGTGTCCCTGGAGAGGGTGTGGGTCTGCTGAAACACCACAGAGGTCGCGGGAGCGACCAGGACTGTGGTGAGGGGGCACAGTCCACATCCTGTTGGAAGGACCCACCACCCCACCATTCGGTCTTCACCAGCTGTTACCATGTAGGGATGGGGTCCCTGGGTCACCAGATCAAGTGCTGCTAAAAGGGAAATTATTTCTGTGAGTCTTCCTCCTTTTAAACGTTGCCAGCTAATTCAATTGTAAAACATCCTGCTGGCCAGCTAAAATACATCTGCAGGCTGTGTTTGCCCTAGACAACTAGTCCGCGACCTCTGCTGAATGATCTCTGACAGCCGTCCCAGCGATAAACATGCAGGATTTAATTTATTTAACAGGCATTTCAGTGGTGCATACCAAGTGTCCACATTGCTTTCCCTGCTTCGTAGCTACGGGCTTGTTCTGCTCATTTCCTCGGCGCGGCTCCATCTGAGGGGGAAATGGAGAGGAGAGAGATGCCGAGAGCCGGGCCTGGAGTTCGGATCCTCCCCATGCAGGGCCCATGACGTGAGAGTCCATCCCCCGCCACTGGCTGCTGATGGGTTTGGTTTTGTGTCTTTCATCTCCCGAGTGCAGCAGACAGCCCGGCCCACCTTCTTTGCTCGCAAGTTTGAAGCCGTGGTGAATCAGGAGATCATTGGGCAGCTGGACTACTACCTGTACGGCAACTACCCGGCGGGCACCCCAGGCCTGCGCGCCTACTGGGAGAATGTGTATGAGGAGGCCGACGGGGTGCACAGCCTGAGCGATGTGGCGCTCACCCTGTACCACTCCTTCTTGCGCCTGGGCCTGCGGAGGGCCGAGTCCTCCCTGCACACCGAGGGCGAGAACAGCTGCAGGTGAGTGGAGCTGTGGGCTGGGGCTGCAGTGTCAGGCTTCCCGGGACCCCAGACCGTCAGTCCATCCTTCCCTGTCTGAGCCGTGGCCACCCTCTCTGTTCCCCTGGCACCATCTGAGAAAGCCAGCTCTACCCAGCTCTCTGGGAGGCTGAGGCAGGAGGGCCATAAATTTGAGCCTGGACCACCTTAGGGACTTAGCAAGACCTCGTCTCAGGATTTAAAAAAAAAAAAGGGGGGGGGATGTAGCTCAGTGCAAAGGTCCTGGGTTTAATCCCCAGCACTGAAGGCGGGGGGGAACCAACTCGAGTATTTTACCCAAGTGACAATATTTCAGATTCATTCTTTATGCTGCGTATATGTGTTTGGGAAAGAAGCTGTGTCACTGTATTATATACTAGCTCAGGTCTTCAGTGGAAGGAACCATGAAGAAATACAAAAGAAAAAAGAAATCTGCGTGTCTCACAATGGAAATTGTTAAACAGAGTAGTGGGATCCGCTTTGCCCGTCACCCCACCCAGGAGTTGCTGACTTCACCCATTTTATCCCATCCCCATCCCCACCCCCACCCAGATCAGTGTGAGGCATGAGCCAGACCCCCTATCCTTTCAGCCATGGATATTTTAATGCATGCCTCTGAAAAACAAGGACTCCTTTTAAAGACATGACTGTACCGTCTTCATCACACCTAAAAGTATAAGCCAGTAAATTATGAAAAGGCAAAACTATGATTTAAACTATTCAGCCACCCTTTAGAATCCTGTCCCCTCCTGCTACTGGACACGACTTGATACTTCTGGAAGGAATGTTCTGGAATAGTTGGAAAACAGCGGGGGAAAACATTCTGCACAACCCCCTCTGCCCTCTCTCTCTTACCAGCCAAGCCTTTTCATTGTGTGTTCCTTCTCTTCCCTTCTCCAGGGATAGGCATTGGGTTATTTGCATAATCAGAAGAAGAGTTCTGATCCCCCCCCCGCCCCGAGTCACCACAGTCTTAGTCCGCCTGTCCCTGTGCTGCTCTCAGCTTTCCCCCACATGCACCTTCTTACTGCAGCTCCTCTCTTAGGGAGCGGAAATTCCTGTTTGCCTAATCCAGCCCTTTACTGTTGCTGTTGTCAGTGACGTGCCATTGTAAACAACGTTCTGACAAATGTCTTTTTGCAGAAAGCCTTTTTTGTTAAAGAGAAAAAATTCTCCTTTCTGATCATTTCGGAGAGCTGCCCAGAAGTGCCTCTAATTCCACTTTGTCCCTTCTCCTCCCACCTCTTCCTCTTAACATAGCAAAACTGAACCTTTGAGCCTCAGTTTCTTGTTATTGTGGCTTCCCTCATATGTCCCTCTTTGTCCATTCTTCTCTCTCCCCAAAGAGGGAAGAAGGTAAAGAACCAGACAATTTCTGAAAACCCAGGCAGGCTTCCCACCCGGTCCCTTGTGCAGAGCGCACAGAGCTTCTCCAAGGCAGCAGGCATCTTCAGGACCTCCTCAGTGCCCAGCCTTCCCTCAGGTTTGGGTAGCTCAAAGACAGACAAGAGAGGGTTAGGGACACAGGACTCATACTTTGAACTCTAGTTTCTCACTCATGACCGTGGGCAAGTCATGACCCTCTGTGACCCTCAGGTTCTGCATCTGTCCAATGAGAAGGGAGTTGAAGTTTTAAAGGAGAAAACTGTCCAGAACCGTTATCACCATTTTAACAGTGTTTGACACACTAAATATTCAGCAGTGCTCGTGTCGCTGCTGGTATCCTAGTCGTCATTTTTAAACTGTCACAATTGGTCAGTAGTGAACCTATCATATGAGATAGTCACCACGTATGTGAACTCCTGGTGACTTCTCTCTTCAGTCCCCATGGTCATCCCATAGCTGACCTTTTCCCGTGGGCAGAGCATCCACATGCTAGTTCCTCGCTCAAACTTTTGAAGGGCTCCCCCTGAAGAACCCACTCCCAACGGGGCCCAAGCTAAAGGGGTTCAGAAATTTCACCTCCAAGCACCCGCCGCGTGGGGCTGCCGGGCCTTGGGTGAAGGGTGACCTGAGTGTCTTCCCCTGGCTAGTCCGGGGCGGAATCTAGATATTGGAAGTGCAGAAGAGATCCCCAGTACACAGCTCTGGGCCCCACAGTCGGAAGGCGGATGTCCTCCAAGAATAGTTTTAATCACAAGCTTCCTAGAATGTACAAGATGAATGATCTTACAGGAAATTCCGAAAGACACCCCCGATTTATTTAAGGTTGTTGAAATTTTCTCCTGGCACTTGTTTTGGATGAAGCGAGCCATCCAGTTGCCTCAGGTCTGGAATCCTTGGGCTTCTGTCTCATTTTTTATTGTGATGGAACCATTGTACCTTGCTCTGGGCAAAGCCATGTATTTATGAATAGGAGGCTGAGAATAAATCAGGACAAAGGACGCTTACCCCAAAAGGCAAAAGAGAATGAATTGCTACCCCTCAGGTATCTAGAGAAATTGTGAGTGAAAACTGAGTTTCATTTTATCTGGGGCATTTCATCTCCCAGCCAAGTACTAACCAGACCTGACCCTGCTTAGCTTGAGATGAGATGAGATCAGGTGTATTCAGGGTGGTGCGGCCGTAGATTATCTAGGCATTTCATACACATTGTACATATCCACTCTGTAATGTAACCTTTCATAACCTTTCCAGTGGTTCTTGATGTTTTTCTCATTATAAAGTAACATATGTACATTGCACAAATGCTTGAAATGAAAGAATCAAACTGAAGAGGACAAGAAAATAAAGCTCCCTTCCGATCTACTATCCAGGGATAAGGATGTCAGTATTTCACTCCAGACCTTCAAAGGCAAATGCTTTCCAGGGCCAGGTAGCAGCAGGGCAGGGGGCACAGGCAACACCTCCCCTGAGCACATGGGCTCCATGATGCTATGACCTAGTACATCTGTCAGAATGTAGACTTGAGTTGCCAGCCAAATCTTCTCATTTTTAATTTTTTAGCCCTCATCTTAGTAAGGAACAAAACAATCTACTCTGGGTCAGATGGATGTATCTGTGACATCCTTTAGATTATTGTTTTGCATCCTGATTTTTTCTCTCTTCTTAGTAAAGTCACTGTTTTCATTACCTATATACTAAATGTAGTAAGGATGAGGTTTAATTACTTTGATACCAAACACAGTTGAAGTGAGGCACCAGAGGGCTCTGTGTGCAGTGTTGGATTCCACTTCTCTAGATGTGGCTGTAAAGCACCAGGCTCTAGAGAAATCCTTCTGGATTTCCACTCATTCAACGAGCACCGAGTGAGCCTCCATCATGTGTCAGGCTCTGTGTTAGGCACTTTTCATTCGTTCAGCCATGACCCACACAGGTGGGGCCCCTGAGCACGAGATGTTCACATTCCATTGTGAAGACAGATGGTCCCTAAGCAAAGCAAGCCAGAACAGAAGATCAGTAGGAAAAGTGCTCTGCTGAGAATGAAAGTAAATCCACAGGCCATGATGAGCGACTTCAGAGTCTGCAGTCAAGGGACATCTCTCAAGGTGTAACACTGAGCATAAATGGTAAGACAGAGCCAGCCATGCCCTTGTAAGAAAGAAGAGCATCCCCGGCAAAGAGAATACCATGTTCAAAGGTCCTGAGGCAGAAATGAGCTTAGCATATTCAAAAATCCAAAGTGAGGTCCCTATGGCTAGAAGGTGGTGGCTTGGAGAAGAGAGAAACAAACTGAGGCTAGAGAAGAGGGCCAGGGAAGAAGTTTGGGTTTGATGGGAAGCACATTTCTCAGGGCACGTGAGCAGGGGATGACAGGCGTGACTACCATGAAAATAGGGTGTAGTAGACAAAAGTAAGGAAAGGCCAAGCGAGGAGGGTCTGGTGCGGAGTGACGCAGACACGCGTCTGGGTTCTGGCAGAGCAAAAGGAGGGTGTGGGCTGGAGCATGGATTCAGATGGAGACAGGATTTCGCAGCAGAGAGTGAGGAAAGGCCAGCAACCCCATAAATTGCTGGATTCCTGGGCATTGCTCATTTTCTTGACCTTGAGTAGCACTCAGTATACTTGAAACACTTTCTTTCTAGAAACAGTTTCTTCTCTTGACGCCTCTGGTACCGAGCACTCCTGCTTTTCTCCCACTCACCCTGTAGCACAGACTTTGACTTCTTCTCAGCAGGGCCCCGTGACAACCACCTCCTAATCTGTGTTTCAGAGCATTTACTCAAGTGTGCAGATCAGTTGGTCTGTTTTCCTGGTCTAGGCTGGACCCACTCCTGCAGCTGCAGCCAGGTACAGGGTAGGGCAGGGCAGGTCAAGTCAGGAGGGGAACTCAGTTGCTCTCGGCCGGGAATTGTTGGCCCATCCCAGATGGCATTGGCTGGGACAACTGCAGTGGCTTGGCTGTTCACTCTGTCTCATCCTCCAGCAGGCCAGCCCAGTTCCGCTCCTGTGGCAGACAGAGAGCATAAAAGCAAGTGGACATGGACAGCTTTCTTGAGGCCTGGCTCAGAACTGGCATGCCACTCCTTCCACCTCTTGAAATTGCCCCTGGAAGATTCAAGAGATGGGAAAATAGATTCTGTCTCATTAGTGCAAGGAAATCTGCAAAGTTCCTTAAATATAGGAGACATGAGGCTTTGGGTACATCACTGCAGGTGACCACAGGGTCTACCATGACTTTATGTTGTCTGTTAGAGCTGCCACAAGCCACAGGTGGCTACTTAAGTGTAAATTAACTAAAATTAAAAATGCAATGCCCTCAGTTACATTAGTCAGATTTCAAGTGCTCAGTGGTTCCATGTGGCTCGTGTTGGACTTCGCACATATGGATCATTTCCGTCATCTTAGGAAACCGTGAGACAGCCCTGTCTAAACTTAACTGCTTGGGGATAGAGGCAGCATGGTACCAGGCTTTGCACTCCCAGTGACCATATCCAGCTCATGTTGGCAGGAGCCACAAGTGCCCAGCAGTCTGAGGCCAGCGCAGGCAGGCTTTTATTCCTAGGGGCCCTAGAGGCATCCCAGTAATAGGTCAGTGATTTCAGGAGCTCCATCAACCCAGGAAGGCAGCTTCCCCAGCCATTATAATTGGATATAAAGACTTAAAACTCCAGATTGGAAGCAAAGGAAAGCCCAAGCTGAGTTGACCAAGGAGAATGACTTGCAGATGCTGTTATTAAGGACTCGGAACCCTCTTAGTGCTGTGCCTTTTACACACTGCGGAGAGAAGCAGCAGCCTTTTATTTTGCAAGTTGGAGGAAAGAAGAGCTGAGCTCCTGCAGGGCTCTTGCTCCCTCTCTGCTCCCTGCTCCCTGCTCCCTCCCTTCTCTGGGCATCTCTGCTTAGCTCCCTGACCTTCTGTCCACAAGCCTCTGTGGACCAAAGACATGGTTTTCTAAACAATAAGCTACCTACGTATGGCAGCTTATGCATTTGTGTGTGTGTATATTTCAGATCCCACAGTGATTTTTTAACGAAGAGACACAGTGTTGGTGGTAAGAACAGTGATGGCATAAATCATTGTTTCTGACAGTTAGGCAGCAGACTTAAAGAGTCCCTAGGATATTAAAGGAGAAACAGTGTTTTTGTTCAAGGATGTTTAATGCAGCATTGTTTAGAAAAGCAAAAAAAGTATAAATCTGTTATTGTCTGGTGTCAGGGAACTTTGTAAAATATGCATCTGGTGCCAGGAAATGGCAGTGAACTCACACACATACACACACAATTTTGTGTTTACAGATTTTTTTTCAAAGTATGAAAATGCTCAGGAAATCCTATGGAGCAAAGGTAGAATATAGCCAGTCTATACATTATGGTCCCGGCTATGTAATATTTATGCAAACACAGATTCAGAAAATGAGAGTGCAGGGAAATACATCCATAGACAGCTTTTGCACGCTGTTGTCACTCTGCAGCACCTAGCACCAGAGGACTCAATAAAAATAGCTGTGAACTGACATTATTTATGGGGCGAACCATCAAAAGTCATGATTTTATTTTCTTATTACTGTGCTTTCCTGTAGTCAGCATGTTTTGCATTTATATCTCAGCAAAAAAGTTACTCATAGTCACTGAGATCAAACATGTATGGAGGAGCTTCCAGACTGATGCCAAGGAATATGGTAAGCTCTGAATAAACTGGAGATTGTTTTAGGAGCAGGACCAGCACAGTGGTGACAAGCCCCATCGTGATGCTGTCCTTAGCAGGCTCTGGCCAATGAGCTCCTGTGCTTTCAGGTACTACCCAATGGGCCACCCAGCATCTGTCCACCTCTACTTCCTTGCTGACCGCTTCCAGGGCTTTCTGATCAAGCACCATGCTACCAATTTGGCTGTGAGCAAACTGGAGACGCTGGAGACATGGGTGATGCCAAAGAAGGTCTTCAAGATTGCAAGTCCGCCCAGCGACTTTGGGAGGCTTCAGTTTTCTGAGGTAAGAGGCCAGACCCTGCCCACATCATCATCTTCTGCAGCCACCTTACCAGGTTGTGTGCCAATCTGACACTTCTAGTTGGGGGTGAGGGAAAGGATTTATAGAGCCCAAACTATGAGCTCATTCTGGGCTGGAGAAGACTTTCCAGTTGGAACACTGGAACCAATGGATACATGCATGGGTATATACATGGACGGATGGACGGACGGTGAATGGATAGATGGGTAGACAGGTGAATAAGTGGCTGATGAGGGGATAAATGGTGTGTGCAAGAACAACAGATGCTTAGATACACGGATAATGGATGGATGGATGGACTCGTGAAATGAACAATGGACAGATAGGTGGACTAATGTGTAACTGCAAAAATACATAAAAATGGCACTTCCCCATCCCCAGCTTTTATCATTTTTCTAGCTGAAGAGATGGCTTTACCTAGCACCACCCTTTAACTTCCGCCCTGCCTCTGGGCCTACTGTGCCCCAAATATTCGGTCCTCCGTTTCTCCAGCTTTGTGCAAGACCATGCTCTTCCCTACTTACACACTTCTTAGGTCTTTGTCAAGCACACCGTATTTGTTCCTGCCTCAGGCTTGGCATTGCCGACCCCTACCTAGACTGCTCTCCCCCAGGTTGTCACAGAGCTATCATTTCTTTCATTCTTGGTCATTCGGATCCAAATCCAAATGGTGCACCTGCAGAGAAGCCTTTCCTGGATCCCAGTTATGCTACAATAGCTACATTATCTACTTGCCACTTCCCTGTGAGTTTCTGTTGTAGCATTTACGACCTAAAATTATCCTGTTGATTTATCTGATCATTTATTTATCATTCATAAAACAACTAAAGCTTCACCTTTCTTATTCACTGCTGTATTCCCAGCACATAATCATTTTCAGAAAAGCACATGCCATTTGTAGAAAAGCACATTTTTAATTAATTTAGTTTATAAGTATAATGTATATCTATACATAATGATCACTTCATATGGAATTTGTACCTACATGATACAGCTTGATTCTTATATTTTGCATCCCCCTCCATTCCTTTAATTCCTCTTCCTCTCTTTATTTACAAAATCTTTGTTTCCATTTTATCCTTTTCTCATTTTTTTCCTTTTCTTTTCCCCTCTCCCCTCCCTAGTATCCCTTCCCATTTGAACATTTTCTTCCTATTTCACAGTGTCTATTTATACACTGAGTCTTTACTTACATTTTCAGTCTCTCACACCACGGAAACAATGTGATATTTACATATGCATGTGCAGTTTATTTCATTTAAGCGTATGGTCTCAAGGTGCATCCATTTAGCTAGAACTGTCTCGAGCTCATCCTTCTTTATGGCAAAGTAGTGCTCCATTGTATAAAACCATCACATTTTCTTCATTTATCAAAGATTTAGCTATTACAAACTGTGCCACTATACACACATGGGTGTGCATATATCACTGTGATATGGTGCTTTCAATTCTTTCAGGAATAGCTGGGTCCAGTGGAACCTCTAGTCCTAGTTTTTTGAGAAATCTCCACTGTGGTTGATTTCCACAATGGTTGTACCAGTCTACACTCCCACCAACAGTGGAGCAGGGTCCCTTTTTCCCCACAGCCTCACCAGCATTTGTTATTGGTTGATTTCTTGATAGCAGCCATTCTTTCTGGGATGAGATGGAATCTCAGTGTTGTTTTAATTTGTATCTCTCGAATGACCAGCGATGTTAAACATTTTTTATATATTTATTTTCCATTTATACTTTTTCATTTGAGAAGTGTATAGTTATCTCAGATGACTATTTTTGGATTTGGGTCTTTAAATTGGGGGGGTATTTTTTTCAGTTCTTTATATATTCTAGATATCAGTCTTTTGTCTGCAAAACAGCTGACAAAAGTGTTTTCCCACTCTACTGGCTGTCCCTTTACTCTGTTGGTGATTTCTTTTGCTGTGCAAGAGCTTTTTAATAAGGTAAGATCCCACTTGATTCTTTGTAATATTTCCTACAAATAGGGTTTTATTCATAAAGTCTTTGCCTACACCCATGTCTTCAAGACTTCTACCTAGTCTACCTTCCAGCAGATTTAGTTTTAATATTTAGATCTTTGATCCATTTTGACGTGAGTTCAGTGCATGGTGAAAGATATGGGCCCAGTTTCAATCTTCGGCATGTGGAAAGCCAGTTTTCCCAGCATCATTTATTAAAGAGACTGTCTTTCTTCCAGTGAAGTTGCTTGGCCCCTTTGTCAAAGATGAGGTGGCTGAATGTATCTGGAGTTGTTTCTACATCTTTTAATCTGTTCCACTAATCCTTGGATTTACTTCATTGCCAGTACCATGCTGTTTTTGTCATAGTAGCTCTGTAATACAATTTCAAGCAAGGGATTGTGATGCCCCCTGTCTTGCTTTCATTGCCCAGAATTGTTTTTGCTATTCTAGATCTCTGTGGGTTCCAAATGAATTTTAGAAATTTTTTTCTAGTTTTGTGAGCTATACTATTGGTATTTTAATTGGGATTGCATTAAATCTATATAACAGTTAGGGGAGTATGGCCTTTTTTACTACAGTAGATCTTCCTACCCACTAGCAAGGGATAGCTTTCCATTTTCTGATATCCAACTTGATCTCATTTTTTCAGAGTTCTGTAGTTTTTAATGTAAAGGTCTTTTACTCCCTTTGTTAGATTGATTCCTATGTATTTCATTTTTTTTAATGCTACTGTGAAAGGTGTGGACTCCCTAATTTCTCTCTCAATAGATTTGTTATTTGTGTATAAGAATGCTATTAATTTTTTAGTGTTGACATTGTATCCAGCTATGTGACTGAATTTAGTTATTAAATCTAAAAGATTTGGGGGGAATTTTGGGGGTCTTCTATATATAAAGTATCACATCATCTGCAAGTAATAATAGCTTAACTTCTTGCTGTCCTATCCTTATTCCTTTTATTCCTTTTCTTGTCTAATTGCTCCAGCTAATGTTTCCAGAACTGTATTGGATAAGAAGTGGTAACAATGGACATCCTTGTCTTGTTCTTCATTTTAGAGTGAATACTTTCAGTTTGTGGCCATTGAGTATGATGTTGGCTGTTGGTTTGTCATAGATGGCTTTTATCAGATTGAGATAAAGACTATGTATTCCTATTTTCTGTAGGGTTTTTTTTATCATGAATGGGTGTTGGACTTTGTCAAATGGAAAGCATATGTTACTTATAGACTCTGAATACAAATTTTAAATGAATGAGTAAGTGAACTTGGGTGGCCATCCTGGAAGGAAGACGGAATATGCTTGATCTTGGGGAGTACTTCTCACATGGAACTCCAGCATCTGATTTCTGCTTTCCCTACATCAGTAACTAGCTGGAGAAATTTTTAATCTCAATGAATTGGGGGTTAGCAGTGAAGGACCTGCTTTTAGAATGCACAGAAACTTGAGAGGCTTGGGTATCGTAAGGGAGGGAGTCTTGCCTGCTTCTACTCTCTTTGCCAGTCCTTCTCCAGCCACCTGTGGTCCTGCCTTGCTGATTTGTTCCGCATGGTGTAGTTCTCCAAGTAAACAGTCATGGGTGAGAATTTCTTGTTAAGCCAACCTTTTCAGTAAAGGCTCCAAATGGATTGGCTGGGTCTGAGCTGCCATGGCAGGCAGTCCATAAATTACTGGTGTCAGGGGTAATTAGACACTGCCCCAGTTGGATGCTGTGCTGGGGGCTGGAGCAGACATTAATGTCCCATTAAAGAGATGGATGTCGGGTGTCTGGGCTCTGCCTGTTTATTAGTCTGCTGTTGGGTGCCTAGGTACCTAACAGCAGTGACAGGCACTGGTGGCCACTCCATGGCTAGTGATTTGTGAGGGTTCCTACTATGGCTGTAGTAGCCTTGGTGAGAGAACCAGCAAGGTCACTGGTAGAAACAAAAGCAGGAGATGCAGAAAGCCCTAACCTTGTCTGCTGAATTTTTTTTCTACTCTTAACTCGTTTTTACCAGAAAAAGGTAAGGAACAGAAAGAGACTGGAGGGGAAGGCTTCAGGGCCACTTTGCTCGCTGGCAGGAGTCTTTGTGGTCTCAGCACTCTCAATGGACCTTTGCACAGCAGGTGGCCAGTGCTGCGTTGCATCACAGAGAGACCTCTGTGCTCCACCACGGCAATCCCGTGCCACTGGCTTGGGGAAGAGAAGTTCATTCCGTCTGTAGGCTGTCAAAAGTGCCCAAAGTGTGTGAGGTTTTATGGGGACAGCAGTGACCTAGACAGGTGAGGCTCCTGTTGTTGTGGAACTACAGCGTCATGGGGAAGCCAGACAAGAACAGCAGGTAAATGACTAAAAGCAGATCCACTGAGGATGGGGCTTATAAGAAAAGTGAAAATTCATTTGATTGCTGAAGACCTGAGAGGTTCATGGAAACTTCCTGAGACAGAGTGATTCACCCTGAAAAGTCTTTCCTGAGGACATCAGTTTATAGAGTTGAAACCAGTGGAGGAGCCATCTATGGGGAAACCTAGAACATTTCAAAGAGAAAGCATGTACAAAGGCCTTGAGGCTCCTTGGAGTACTCGAGGAGCAGCAAGAGCAGGGTGGCCAGAGCTTCGAGGGTAAGAGGTGAGCATTAGGTGGGCGTTAGGTCGCTAGAGGGTACAGGATCTGGCGGGCCCTAGAAAGATGTTCAGATTGTCTTTTAAGTGCAGTGGGAGGCTTGGGTAGGTTGGGAGCTCGGAACCAGTATGTTAGGTGTGAACTTTTGAACTTGAACAAATTCAAGTAATTGGTCATTTTGCAGTGACTGTCTGTGGACGTCCACACTGAGGCCCAGGGGAAGATCTCAGAGGTCAGAGAGCATGTGATGGTAGCAGAGCTCTGTCTCAGGCTGACCCCTGCCTTCACACGCTGGAGGTAGCTGGCTTTCTTCTTATACTCCTCTGTTTCGAAACCAGACACTTCTCTTTTTTTGTCCACTGCTTCACAGCTGTCCATCCCCGGATGTTCTTGGTTACAAGTTCAGATTCCAGAGAAGCACTCATCCGTTTCTCTCCATCTGTACAGTGAGGGTAGCAATAAGGTCTCTCCTCGGAGCTGGGAACGGGAGATGCACCACTCTCTTTGCCTTACGCCTGGTGCCTGGTCGGCCCTCCTTAGGCATCGGTGCGGAGCAACAGAGTAACTTAAGGGGACAACACGACAAGAGTAAAGCAGCTCTGGCTCCAGGGTACTCTGCCAGCTTCCCCAGGTGGACACCGACAGACACTGCCCAGCACCGCAGGCCATCTGTACCAGTGTGCCTGCGTGCTGTGCTCTGGTCTTCCAGGTTAATCCTTCTATAACAGAGGAACATTTTTTCCTCAAATTAGAGGACCTCTCATTGGACTTTGTTGGATTTGATTTGAAAGAGCCACAGTTCAGCATCAGGGATCTACACAGTTCTCGCTTTCAATGAGTCATTCACTTATTCCTTGGATAGACAATGCTTGAGCACCTACTGTGCGCTGAGCCCAGTAGGAGGCACCATGCAAGAATGGAGAGCCAGGGAGGGGAGACTCCGACCACACAGGGCTGATGTCGTAACAGGAGGAGGGGGCAGCTGAGAAGGCAAATAAAGCAGCAGGACTGACAGAGTGAGGGAAGGGCCATTCTTGATTTGGCGATCAGAGAATTCTGAGGAGGTGCCAGAAATGAGGGTGTGACAGAGGGCACTGCAGCAGCAGACACAGAGCAGGAAGCTAGGTTGAGAGCAACATGTGAGGCTGAAACTTCTGCCATGAGCGGTGCAGGGTGGGGAGGATGGACAGAGAGGCGCAGGCCCGGCCTCTGAGCCGTCTGTGGTGGGGCTAGCGCTGAGCTGAGTGTGCTGGGGCACCTTCAGGCTCCCCAGCGGAGAGTGCACTGCAGGCAGCAAAGTGGAGGGTGAAAGCCAACAGCAGACTCCTGGGCGTCAAAGCCACACGACCACCCCGCTGTTCGGAGTTCGCTGGGGAAGCCCACGCCAGCCATTCCCAGGAGAACCACCGAGACTCCCAGCTTCCAGTGGGGTTGCTCCCACGGGGGGCTCCTTCCTTGTTCAGACCCGGTACAGCTCGTGGAAGTGGGTGATTTGGAAAGCTGAGGACCTAAGTAGAAAGCAGTGGTAGGCATCAGATTCACAGCAAGGGATGTGTTTCTTGGAGTGGACTGCAAGCTGGTATTCACTCATTTGTGTATTCCATGCAGTTTTGGGTTGTTGGTCTGCGTCTGAAACATACCATGTATGGGTTAGAGGACCACAGGCTATGTCTCCCCAGACTGGGCCCAAACCCCAGGTCTTTTGCTGCGGCAGTGGGAGCATCAGGCTCCTCACCTGTGAAATGGCTACGTGAAGCCCAGGCTCCTCGGCTTTGCCCTGCCCGGCAGCCTCAGCACTGACTCTCCCGTTTCAGGTCGGCACAGACTGGGACGCCAAGGAGCGGCTCTTCCGCAACTTTGGTGGTCTCCTGGGGCCCATGGATGAGCCGGTAGGGATGCAGAGGTGGGGCAAAGGGCCCAACGTGACCGTGACCGTCATTTGGGTGGATCCCGTCAATGTCATCGCAGCCACCTACGACATCCTGATCGAGTCCACTGCGGAATTCACCCACTACAAGCCCCCTTTGAACTTGCCCTTGAGGCCTGGGGTCTGGACAGTGAAAATCCTCCACCACTGGGTGCCCGTCGCAGAGACCAAATTCCTCATTGCACCTTTGACTTTCTTAAACAGGCAGCCCACCAGACCAGGTGAGTGCATCCTCAACATCTCTGCGGGGACCGTGGGGTCCTCAGTTCCAAAGACAGCCTGTCCTGAAGGGCGGCATGGCCCTGCTCTCTGAGCTTTCTCCTGCTTGTTTGCCCTGGAGAAACCAACTCATTTCCCACCTGCACACTGGGGTGATATCATCTGCCTATGCAGTCGGTACCTATTTATTAGATATTCTCCCCCTGGACTTCCAGAAGGCCCTGGTCTTATTTAAGGCAAGATGAGAAATAATACAAGGCAGATACTGAGTTTGAGCAAGTTCTGTTTCCTGGTTAGAAAATAAGGATTAACATAGGAATTCTGCTCACCAAAAGTACAGCACCCTGAAGAAAAAGAGAAACTACATCCTAGTGGAAGATACTTGCTTCTGAAAAGTACTCATATTCAGAACATGTAAAGAAATCTCATAAATCACAGGTAGGCACACTATAAGCCACAAGCCAAACACAATGCACTGCTAGTTTTGTTCATAAACTTTCCTTGGAACACAGCCATACCCATTCATCTACGTGGAGTGTGTTTCTACCTCGGGGCCACAGTGGCAGAGTTGAATAGTTGTGAAAGGGACTGTATGGCTTACACAAGGAAAACTTTATCTGGCCCTTTAAAAAAAGAAAAGATTGCCAATTCCCGTTACAAAACAGAGAGGAAAAGAAATAACATGAGTGACCCTCACACATAAAAATTGACTACCCTCAATAATGAGAGAAGTACAGCTAGGCATGGTGGCGCACACATGTAATTCCAGCACTCGGGAGGCTGAGGCAGGAGGATCGCTGTGAGTTCAAGACCCGCCTGGGCTACATAGTGAGTTCCAGGTCAGTCTCAACTACATAGTGAGACCCTGTCTCAACCCTTCCCCGCCTAAATAAATAAATAAATAAATAAATAATAATAATAATAATAATGAGAGAAGTGCAAATTAAAAGCAAAAGAGGCTCTACTTCACGCCTGCCATGTTGGGAAATAAGTGTACAACACGTGGGCAGTACTATATGTTAGGATTAGGACGAATGGACAACCACCCTGTTCTAGTGGGTGGATCAACAGATCAAACAAGTTTAGAGGACATGCTGTCAGCACCTCCTTGGAAAGCCGGACATAGACATCCCTCACCACGCCCAGGTCCGGTCCCTAGAGACCAGCACAGGCGTGGTCCTAGCAGAATGGCCCAGGATGGCCCAGACCAGAGACAATGACAAATGTGAAAGGACAGTGTGTGGTCCTACGCAGCACTGACATCAGCAAAACACAGCCACAGATAGCACCTGCAAAGAGTCTCTGAAACATGATGTTGAGAAAAACATTTCACAGAATAAATCGTAATTAGGGTGCACTTAATGGAAGCTCAAAAGCAGGAAAAAACAACGCCAGGGTATTATTTCACCACCCGTGTGGGGAGAGGAAACTGGGAGGGAAGGAAGGAAATGATGAACACAGATTTCAGCCCAGTGGTCTTCAGGAGACATGAAGGACAGGGAATGCCACACAAAGCTCCTAACATTGCTTCCCCGCCCAAAGGATTTACTCGCATATTTCTGCGTCTCCTTCCCCACCTTACTTTCTGAAGGCAACAACCTTTTCCCTGCTAAAAATCCCACCTCCAGGAGCAACCACTGCCAGCAATTTGGTGTACATCCTTCTAGATTTTTTCAGTGCTTTACAAAACAACACGTTGCAAGTTACAGGAACAGCCTTGCTTTTTAAAAGGAAATACAGTTAAGATATTTTGTACTGAAACTCGCTTGCGTTGCTCTCTAAGGCAGTGTCTGGAAACTGCCACCTCCACTGCATGGAACTCCACTGGGTTAAGGAGCCCCAATCTTCGTGTCCCCCTGCGGGTGAACACTTTTTTTCTATTGTTGCTGATGATGATTATTACAGATGATGCTGTACGAAGATTCTTGAACATGATATTGTATGTGCCTGTCTAGGAGACTCCTGGAAATGGGATTTCTGGGTATCAATATAGTCATGCCTTGTTTTCTGCAGGAATGTGTTCCCAGGCCCCCTATAGACACCAAAATCCACCCGAGTTCGAGTCCTTTCTAGAAAACAGCATAATATTTGTATATAAGCTACCCACATCCTCCAGTTACTTTAAATCATCTCTACTTCATACATCGTAAATGCTACGTGAGCAACTGTGACACCATATTGTTTAGGGGGTAATGACAAGGAAAAGCAATGCGTGTAAATACTTCTAATACTTCTGACCACAGTTGGGTGACTCTGTGACTATGCAGGCCTTGAATACGGAGGGCTGGCTGTATTTGGGACTGTTTGTAGAACAAGGCTCAACCTCTGAAAGGAGAAACACATTATAGTCCCTGTTAGCTAGGAAGAACTCTGGGCCACCCATTCTGCCAATGACACAAGGAGAGGAGGCCATAGAGGTCCTTCCAAGGGGAATCTTGACATGGATCCTGGCAGCCTCCATGGAGGCTTTGTGCAGAACACATCCAGAGCCAGGCATCTCACGATTCCTTGAGATGGAAGCCTGATTCTTTACTCACCCACGAAGCAGGCAGAAGACAGCTAGACGGGTACGAGGCAGGCCAGAGCCCGCCCACAGAAGGCCCGCAGGTGTTCCCTTCATTAGGGGGCACCTCCGACCCTCCTTCAGGGTTTATAAACTAAACGCGGAGCAGGGATGGGGGTGGCAGGCTCAGCAAGCAGAGGAGCCCCGAATCCACCCACACTCCAGGAAAGGAGCCTGGGGCTCTGCACTGGGTCTTGATCTCCCCAGCATTTTCTGGCACCATCTCAAAGGAAGGGGAAGCTCTTCCCACCTGTGCCCAGGAAAACCCCACTGGGAGCAGCCCCCCCACCTCGTTGGTAATTGTATTTGTTAACGATGTTCCAATGACAGGGAACATGAAGGTGGGAGTGATGCAGTTTGTAAAATGATTCATCACGAGTAATTTGCTATTGACGCGTCCCTGGTAATCTCAAGAACTCTGATGAGGTGGAATTGAGGAAAATTTAATTATAGAGGCAAGCATCATGAGCTGATACTGTAACAGCATTTCCCACATTAACCTCATTTTTTATGAGTTTTTTGCAGTAACCACGACATTTGGTTCCCAGCCTTTGAAAGTTTGGTAGCTGCTCCTTTGAATGTCCTGCCTTTTGTCAGTTTTTATCATCCCTCCCCACCTCCCGTTCTCTGCAGAGAAGAAGCACAGAGGGCTCTCCACCGAGACTCTGGCTTCTTTGGCCATCACTGTAACATAAACTCTCATTTTGGTTCATTCCACTACTTTGAGTGGAGCCTGCTGCATATGGTAACAGGCATGTCATATACCTGTGTCCACTAAATAGACCCACAAATGTCTTGCAAATAATAAATGTCTAATAAGTATGAGCTGAATGAATGTCTTGCGAAGTGGAGCTTAAGAGGAACTATTGAAGGAGAAACTGGACCATTGCAGAGGTTCCATAAATAGGTGCTGATGAATAGAGGAAGTGCCATGCTCTGCCCAAGGCGAGTTCCATCCTGGCAGCCTCAATTTTTTCACCTATAAAACGAGACAGCTAAAAGCACCACCCTGGGAGTCATGTGTGGATTAAAGAGGTGACACACAGGGCCCAGCACAGCACCTGGTACACAGTACATAGGTACCCAGTTCGCGGCTCTTCTAAACATATTGCCATTCTCTTTGCTTTCAGAGGAGGCACTGAGGCTGCACAATGGGCCCCTCCGCAGTGCCTACATGGAGCAGAGTTTCCAGAGCCTAAATCCAGTCCTCAGCCTGCCCATAGTCCCTGCCCAGGTGGAGCAGGCTCGGAGGAATGCGGCCTCCACAGGCACAGCACTGGAGAACTGGTTGGACTCACTAGTGGGCAGGATGTGGACCGCTATGGACATCTGTGCCACAGGACCTACTGCCTGCCCAGTCATGCAGGCCTGCAGCCAGACAGCCTGGAGCTCCTTCAGCCCCGATCCCAAGTCAGAGCTGGGGGCGGTCAAACCTGATGGCCGGCTCAGGTAGCACTGGCCACGTGTGGGCCACAGCACACTCTCGGGGCCCCAAGCCTGGCCTCCCACTCTGGGAGAAGAAGGGGGAAGGTAGGTTTGGAGGCCAGAGTGGACCAGCCTGCATTTGCCAAGCTGGCTTCTGGAGTGGGGGTGGCTCACTGCCAGCACCATGGTGGTCTCACCCCTTCTGGGTGACCCTCCACTCCTGCAGGTTCCCGTCTTCCCCTTCAGTGATCTGGATCGGTCCTCCCACGCCACCCCAACACAAGTGGTTTTCAAATCCTTTTCTGAGCAGCAGAACTCTGTTCACTCAGCTTGGTAGGAGGTGGATGTTCAGGGTAAAGCTAAAGCCCAGGCTGCTGGAGGTCCCTTGGCCAGGGGTGTCTCCTCAGGTCCCTCTCCTGAACCCAAGGGCTCCACACAACCCAGTGAGACAAGCACTGCCCAGCCTGAAAGTAGGAATTCCAGCTGCCCTTCTGCTTCTCTCCCTGCTCCTGTGGCTCGGAACCCACCTTGAAACAACAGGCCACTGAAGGTCACAGGCGAGGGCCTCTCCCGGGTAGGTGGCCGGTATGGGAGGAATGATTCCAAGCCTCCCTCCAGCCCCTCTCCTGTTGAGCTGTTCTTTCCGATAACTAGAAGAGCAAGAAAGCCATTTGGCCAAGGTCTATGTGGGCATATGGCTGCCAGTTGTCCATGGCTGCAGGCCATCCTCCCTCTGGGCTGTTACATGTGGCAGTAGAAATGGGGTTGTTTCATGAGCATGAGCCTCATGTCTCCAAGTGATTCACTGCCTGCAAGACTGAGACCATGGCCTCTTTGGTCCTCGAGACTGGGGATCATGGCCATGGAACCCACAAGAGTTGGCTGGGAAGAAGACTCCTGGGCTGGACAGCGCAGCTGTGCCCATCACCTGCCAGAGCCCTCCCGTGCTGAGGTCAGGCTGCAAAGCCTTCGCGGATCGCACATTTGGTGCTGGTGGCAGTGACCAAACTCACAGACCAGACTTCTCACATCCAGAAAAAAAGCATTTCAGATTTGGTTCTCAATTTCACGCCCTTCCTTTTCCAGGGTGCCAACAGGCCCATCTGGACATGCAACATAAAAATGGTTGAGTTTCAAGAGTGTTCCGAAAGGTGGTTTTAAATTTACAAAAATACATATATATATTAGCCGAATTGCTTGAGTTACCAGAAAACGGAATGGTTTCCTTGCCACATGCCCCAGGCGGGCCATCGTCCTGGTGAGCCCCACTTCCTCCTTGACCTCCACATCCTCTGAATGACAGGGTTCCCTGGGGAAAATCACGCCTGTCCCTCCCGCAGTCAGCCAGTCCTTGGCGTTTCCCCAGCGCAGGTGTGAAGTGACTGTGGTCCCCCTCTGTGGCCCGTCTGCAGCGCTGCCCTTTCCCACCCAGCAAAGCAAGATGTCCCATTGGCAATGGAGGACATAGAGAAGGGACACTAGATATTTATTATTTAATATGTTTTAGTCAATGACTAATTAGTAGGTGCTGTTTTTGCAGCTTGTCATTTATGTTCTCTAACTAAAGCTGCCTTTATTCACAAAAGGCTCCCTTCCTCTCCCTTCCCACCCCTAGTCTGTCTGTCCGCCTCTCTCTAATTCTGTCTCTGTCTCCAGATGTCAGCCCTACATCCTCCTTGTTCTCAAAAAAGCAGGGGTGTTGGACACCATAAGAAAGCTTCAGCTGGCCTCATCTACCAGCCTGAAGTAGGTGCCTTTGGGACCTCTGGAGCCTCAGTTGTTTTTATGCAGGGTGTTACCCCCATCCGCCCTTTCCAGTGTGGGAGTGCTGCAATTCCTGAGCCATCCCTGCCTGCCCAGGCACAGGGATGGGATGGCTGAGGCCTTGTGGAGGAGGCAGTGTGCTGGCTGCCTGCCTGCCTGCCGAGAGCTGCCTGGAGCTGCTGGGTCCATGGGGACAGCCTGTGGCCCACCTAACCATGAGACTTGATAGGGCTGTGACAGAGGGGAAGAGGGTCCTGGGAACCAGCCAGGACAGCCTAGGAGATAGCTGTTACCCACAGTGAATTCAGACCTCAGAGTGGCTTCCTTAGGAAGTCCATGGGATCTCTGAGTGGCTTCACAAACTATGAGAACCACCAAGCCAGTGCCACATTCTCTTGCTTCCGCAAGCTCTGCCTCTGGCCTGGGCTCCCCTGAGGCTGCTGAGGTCTACGAGACTCCCCCTTTTCCTTTCCTGCCCAGCTTTCAGGCCCTGCATTTTCTGCAGTGTTATCTTCACTGGCTTCAGGAGCTCAACCCTGGCAGGTCCCTGTATACAATGGGAGCTGCAGACACCGAGGCAAGGCCCCCTCCTGACCCACTGAAACCTCTGACTTCTTCCATCCTAGAACGAGTGGAGAAGCACAGAGATGGCTTAGTCTGGGGACTGCCTTCCTCCCCTGAGGCGTCCCTCACTTATAACTTAATCCTGGGAGCTGGGAAGTCACATCGGTGTTCCTTTGTTTCCTGTTTTTGGTCCAGAGAATAATTTTGCAGATGTTGCATTTGATAAGAAGATTCCAAACAATGCCCAGCATAATTTGAGAAAAAGAGATGTTTCCCAGGAAAAACAGTATTAACTCTTTTACTTTTAATATCTGCCTGATAACTGATTAGTTGGAGGCCATGGGCCAGGCATCCTGGAGCTGGAGCTGTCTGGGGATTCCTATCTCTTTGGAAGCCATGCTCTTTGGAAACCCTGCTGCCGTCTGTAGAGGTTGGGAGTGATGGGCTTGGCCGCTGATCGGGTCCCTAGAGTTTCAGAAGGCTAAAAGACGAGAGATGGGTGTCAGCTTATGGAGAGAGGGATGTATATGTAGAAGGTAGTCATCTGTGCCTTCCCCAGTCACCCAGTGACATCGGGCAGAAAAGAAGCTTAGAAGGTTGCCAGTATTTCCAAATCCCACTCAAAATCATGTGCAAAGCTGTAGTCCCCAAAGAGGAAGTGAGCCATTTCTCAAGGCCCCCTTTGCTTTAAGGAGTACGCCCCTTCCTTGCACTAGAAGAAGTCTTTCTGGCCAGATTGAGAGTCCTGGCTTTATTTCTCATCGTTAGTTTTACTTTTACACTTCACATGGAGTTTGCAGAGGTTAAGAAAGGCTACACAACCCCTACCCAAGAAGGTTGGTTTACCACAACTCTAGGAACATGCCTGCTTCCTCCTGGTTCTCTAGTTTGCAGATACACAAGGAGGACATTGGGTGGGACCGATCTCTGCCAAAAAAGCATAGAATTGATAAGAGCGGTAGCTTCAGGTGTGGGGCATAAAGGAGGATGCTTTTTACAACCACATCCACTGAGTGTTTTAGATGTCAGCACGCCGGCAGCATCTCAAAGGTGGAAGGACATGGGACACCACTATCAGCAGGCTCAGCTTAGAGCAGGCAGAGGTTTGCCACGTCAGAGGGCCACTCAGTGGCAGGACTCCTGAGGGCTCAGTGAGCTCCAGGACACAAACCAAAGAGCGAAGCCATGGGCGCAGGACAATGAGAGTGGTGGGGACAGTGGTCTTCCTGACATAGGTGGGTCCCATCCAGAAAGAGCAGCTGCTACTGAGCTCCAGCCTGTCACTGCATGTAAGGGTACAAGCCCGTTGCAGTGGCATCTTCCCATTTGGTGAGGGAAGCCAGAAATCCTTATCTTTACAGAAAATATGACCTTTCAGCGTTAGCTATTCTTTATTAACAGTGTGTGAGAAAAAAAAAACCTCATCGTTCCACTCATGCATGCCCAGAAAAATGCTCTGGGCAGATGGCTTCAGATGAGGTGAGGTCTTGCCCAGTGAAACAGGGAAGAGCAGAAGAATAACGCTTGTTGAATTTTGCAGATAACGGGGATCTCTGACTGGTCATTCCCCTCCCACACAGGAGGGCAGGCTTGTTAGCGCTCCTGGTCCCAAGATAGTTATGTGCCGGAGAGGAGGAGGAATGCAATCCAGAGGCCTGGGACGTCCCCCTTTAGATTTCCAGAAGTCCTCGCATTCCGGGACTCCAGCAGGGCAGGCAGAAATGATGACGGGGTCCAGCAGGAGGGATCCGTGAGCGAGACGGCAGGGCTCTGTCCAGATCCCAAGTCTTGGCAACCAACCTGCCACACCTGGAAGTTTCTTCCAAAACCAAGTGCGGCTGTACTTTGCTCACAGAAGTTCTCTTCGCTTCTGCCTCAGTTGCCTGACTTTGCCCATGGGTCCACCACAGGCGCTACCTCACTGTGTCTGCTGAGAAGTTTACCCGGGGGGCGTGAAGGTGTCCATGTCTGCTGGAGCGAAACGTACAATCTATGCAAATTCCCTCTCTCTCTCTCCCTCTCTCTCCCTCTCTTTCCTCTCTCTCCTTTCTCCCTCCGTCTCTTTCTCTACCTTAGAAGTTCTTTGTTGTTGTTGCTGTCGTCGTTTTACCTTGAAAACAAGATACTGCACAGGACCCTCTTAAGACTGAGGGGGCGGCTTTCAAAGTGCCGTCTGTATCTACCCCTCACACTGTCTTTGGTTCGTCTCCTGCCAAGCCCTGTGCAGGGGGAAAGCGGCCTCTGCCCTCTCCGCTTGGCTGGGAGTGCTCCGACCGCCCCTGCCTGCAGGCACACCAGGAAGCAGGCTCCGCACCGGGCACCCCACTGCCCATACTCCCTTCTCCTCCCTTCATTCCCCCCAACTTGCTTCTCCTACGCACCCCCACAACCCCCCAAAAAGCCTTAGGTTTCTCCTTTTTGAAATGTGGCCTTAAAATTATTTAGGAAAGCTGGCTGTCCTCTTCCTCGGATTTTCACCACTATCCAGAAGAAAGAGCACCTCGAAACTCTGTGGTGGCTGCCCAAGCCAGGGGGCTGCCGATATGGAGTTTGTAGATGCGATAGAAATCGCTTACCAATGTCACCCTTAAGAAAAATGCTCTTGTGTTTTTCCTATGGGCACAGTGGAGGCTTGAGAGCTCATGTAAACCTTAGCAGATGCCTGAAGCACCTTCTTCACGAGCTTTGCCACTGCGAGGGCTGGCTGAGTGACCCGCAGGGAGCTCACCGTCTTGGCTTTCCAAACCTCCCCTTCCCCCCAAGACCAGGTGACTTCACGGACTTCATCAAGGGTAAGTGAGGAGAGTTTCTCAATTTATCTCTTCGTCCTTGCTGCCTGGGAAGCGACAGCATTAAATATTCCCAGCCGATGGGTCGCATTCTCCCAGGGATGGTCCCCTCCCTGCCTTCAAATCTGTCCTTGATCTTCCATCGTTCTCCTGCCGATGGAGGCCAAAGTCAACCCCAGGGTTTTCATAGGAAATTCACTGGAATCGAGCGCAATCTTCTTTATAGTCTTTCTGTCTTCTTTTCTTTTAATATTATGTTGTCAATAGCATTTGTTTCAGAGGCCTCATGATAAATTATTACTGCCTCCCTCATTGTTTTCAAAGACATGTGGTGATATAGTTTTTAAAAATAACTATTTTGTTATAGATCATAATATGCATAAAACTGTACAGAAATATTTTGTAATGTATTGATTTTAAAAAAGAGGAGCTGTAAATAAAGTTTTAAAAAACACAGGCAAAGTTCACATGGCACACACTGAAAGATGTAGATATTTTGCTATTTATTTAAAGGAGTATTTTAAGAGAGACTGAACTATCTGAAACTGACCAGTCATCAAAGTTCAAATCATCAGCGCTTTTCCTCGAGGTAGAATGTGATTCTCAGAAACAACTGCATTACCTGCCCACTTTTGCACCCTTCCTGTCTTCAGTTAGCAGAAAAACAACAACAACAACAAAATTGTGCCTTAGCTGTATTTTTTTGTCTAGGGGAGTTTGTTTCTGTCTGACAAAGCAAAATTTTTTGCAGAAAAGTGGATGTATTAAATACTGTATCATACCAAAAACACGGCAGGTGTATATAGATGCTTTCTGTCATACTGTGTTTTCGGATGCAGACTTTTAAAATAAAAAATGTCTTTATGGAACACTGTTGTATGGCTTCTTTTTAAGTAGTGCTGTGTTATCTTCACACATTCTCATACGGTCTTCCGTCGTCTGCCCCATGATAGGCTTGATAACCGCACAGTTTATATCCTACCTGAGATGCTCTTGGCAGTGGATACCAGCTGGACAACTGCTGAGATCCCAGGCACAACCTGGGCCCTTCCTGGGAAAGCCTGGTCACGTGGACGACACCCTCAAAAAAGCTACTTCCCACTGCATTACCGCATCACCCTTCTAGAAGCTTCTCCCCTGGTTGCAGCAAAAGTACATGATTTTAAATCCTTACTTGCAGGGAGAATAACAAGGAGGGACTTACCATCTAAAGGACTGCAGTTGTGTTGTTTTGTATCAGCAGTACTGGTGACTGAATTCAGGGTCTTCACAGAGAACTACACGCCGGGGCCATCTTTTATTTTTGAGATAAAATCTCCCTAAGTCAATGGGTTGCCAAAGCTGGGCTCAAGTAGCACAGTTTATTAATACTTATTTTGCTGCTATTCAGCAAACCTATTTGCACTTCATCACATAGCTTAACTCTAGTTCCCAGGCTGCCCTGCGATTACATATGACCACGTGACTCAACTGAAGCCAAGGAGATAAAGGTGGAAGGATGTAGGGCATCTGTAAGCCTGTGGCCCTTACAAACTCCCAACTGACTACAGCTTCTTCTTTCCATCTTTCCCAATTTTGCGGTCCACCTGGTTTAAAATTATCTTGATTCTGTGCATCGTTTGCATGAATGCTTTTTCTACTGCTCACCTTGGAAACATAAAGCAACAGCAACATAAAAGAGGGCAGAGCCACAATACAGGAGAAGCCTGGGTCTCTGAATAGCCACAAGGAAGGTCCCAAAAGTCATTCTTTTGATGATGACATAAAAAGAAATAAAGTTTGACTGTTATGCCACTAAGAATTAATCTGCTACAGCACCTTATTTTATGTAAACAAATCCATCCAGATATAGAAATTCTGATATTCCACCGGGAAAATCTAAATTTTAGTCCCTTCATCCCATTAGTAAAAGTACAAGGAACCAGGGGGGTGAAGTGACTTGCTTGAAAGCACTATGGGGCCGGGGATTTAGTTCAGTGGTTCTGCCGCCTGCCTCACAAGCGCAAGGTCCCGAGTTCAATCCCTGGTACCACAAAAAAAAGAAAAAGAAAACAAAAAACACACTGTGTTCACCATGGTCAAGGCTAGAATCAAAGTTTGATCTTCTCCGATGAGACCTTAATGAACCACTGGAGAACAAGTTCCTCCATCTTTGGTTTATTTGTGGCTTTGGAAGCCATGGCCAAAGACTGACAGCAGCCAACTAGCTGAGTCGTGACAATCTTTTAGCTTACCCTAATAGGCAAAGAATGGCACTGATTCAAATAAGATTTTAGCAATCAAAACAAAACAGGTAGCAACCTTCTCTTCAGACAGGCAGAGAGCAACTGAGTGGAGAACCCTGCCAGCTGCAGCCTCCTTGAGCTTGGCATGGGAGAGGAGATGAGGGACTCCCTGGTTTGATTTGCCAAAACCCTGCTCTATCTTGATCTAATGGCCAACTTCACTTTCCTCTGCCTAAGGTAAGCCCTCAAAAAACAGGTCTGGGTGAAGCAAAAAATGAGCTTCTAAAATCTCTGTAGGAGTAAGAGTCAAAGCCGTCTCCCTGACTATGCACATCAGTGTCCGCCATATTTAGTACAGTGAACCCAGGGGATGAGCACGCTATTTAGTGGATGAACCAATAGACAAGGTAAAACATAAAGTTATTTCATTATTTCATTGAAGTGTTTGGTAGAATTTCTTTCCTACTTATCCTCTTGACTTGTGAGGTTTCCTGAAATTCAGACATGTAGTACATAGTCCAATTACCACTCTGCATGTAGAAAATAGCAGAAGTTGGTTTAAGTTCATCAAACTAATGGTTGCAAGTCTTTAAAAAACAAATGAAACCTTTTTTTTTCAAACAAAGTTGTACTTGAAGACCCCGATATATAAAAGAGACCTTTAAAAACTGGAGGTCGGAAGGGTTACCCCCTTTGGAATGGTAGCAGGTAGTTATGTTAGCCAGTGCTCTTCTCCCCCACCAGCCAGCCTCTTTGGTATCCCCCATGGACACTTAGATGGACATGTTTTAAAATCCATATGGCTCGTAGAAGCAGCTAGGCTTTTTGTAGGGTTGCCATGTCCTTGCTTCCAGGGTGCTGAAAGTTAAGTTTCAATTCTGTCTGAGAGTCAGACTAAATCAAGAATAATTAAATCCTTGCCTGGTCCTGGAAAATCAGCAGGATAGAACCTTAGAGCTGGAGCTCAAAGGGGGCATGGCCAGCCCAAGATCAAGTTTGGCAGCTTCTTGATCTTATGCATTCAAATTTAGTTTATCTGTTGCACTGATCTCTCTAGAACCTCAAAGACCCCAACCCTGGCAGGAAGTACTGGCCTGAGAACAAAGCCCTCAGCTCTCCCTAGCTCTGGTTTTTCATCGGTTTGCTGTATGATCACAGCAATACTCTTTCCTGGGATGAGTCCAATGAATTGCCAAACAAATAAAAAATGATGGAGGGTAGTTAGGAAGGGAAAACAAAAAAAAAATTGAGAAGTAATTCATATATCTATCAATTCCTCACAACAAATGTAATTATTATGTATCACAAACATATACCAACAAAAGAAAAAAGAAAAAGGGATCTCAGCGACCACTGAACTCCTCCAAGTCCTGACACACAAGTGCACAGTCCAATTCCCACCATCATGCAGAAACTTACAAGGTGCCAGAGAGCAACATCACGAGAAAAGGGTTCCAAGATACTATTTTACCCCGTTCCTATCCACGTTAGTCAGGGGTTCTTCACGTGCATGTAACAGTAGCTCAACTCACAGTTTAATCAGAAGGTGAATGCATTAAATCGTGGACTATGGAAAATAACAGAATTAAAGGCAAAGTCCAGCACAAGAGCGATGTCAGCCCTCAGGTGGACTCACGACCTGGAAGCGAAGCCTCACTACTCACAGGCCCCTTGTCCTCTGTTTTTTCTGGCTCCAGTTTGAGTCTAGTCTCTTCCACAGATATCTGACTCCCTGTGACAAAGACCCCAGAAGTCCCCTTTTCTTGTCTTCCATGTCCAAAATGCAAAAATGTCAGGGGCCTTTGTCTTCCCTGCAAAAACAGGAAACTCTAACTTGGTGCCTATCATTCGGGTCAGGTAAACAAGGTTGTATGACTGGCTGAGCCTGTGGCTGAGTCCGCCCCCATGGCCAGGGGGTTGGGTAGAAATCTGTGATTGGCAGGTCTACTCCTATCACAGGAGTAAAAGAAAAGCATCTCTTCAAAGAGAGAAGATGGCATCCAACAACAAAACAACAGATGTCTATGCACTGCCACAACCAACTCCAAGCCCAGGTAGCTTCTCAGTTTGCCAGTTCAATTCATTCCTGCTCCTCAAAGACCCCAGTTGTCTCCACCCAGCTCCTATATACCTCCCAAAGGAGGAGGGCTCTTGGCTGTGTCTTAAGCAAATCATTTTCAATAAATATCACATGGATAGTGAAGACCATTCCACCCTTGCTTATTCACTGAGTGTTTATGTTTATGGGGGTAACGTGATGGATTTCTCCTTCTGTCCTTAAAGCCTAGGAGCAGAACTCATTAAAAAGGCCAGAGGAACTGCCCTTTACTAATTATAGCGGATTGTTGTTAAGCTGCAGCAGAAAGCGGGCCGTGTACCTGTCATGAACACCAGCATCTCTCTCTTTGTTTCTCAGCACTGTCACTCTGAGTCCGTGTCCGCTTTCCTGTCCCTTCAGAAAACATCCAGAACACCTAAGCCGGCTAACTCGTCCACCACGTGGTGGCCATGGCTTCCTGAGTTAGTGTGTTAGGCTTCTGAAAGAGGAGCTGCTGTTCACTGCATTCACTGGTACAGGGTGGCTGGTAGGCAGATGGGGTTAAAGTCAGAAGAAATACAAGGAATACTTTTTAAGTCACACTGTCAAGCCCAATCCACTTACCACCTGTTCCAGGGCCTCTTAGCATAACAGGGACTCGTCCAGTGTTTCAAGCAGATGATCCTGTATCCAAACACCAGTTCCATCAAGAATTCACTGGGTCATGCTAGGGATTTAGCTCAGTGGTGCCACCACCTGCCTCACAGGCACAGGGTCCTGAGTTCAATCCCCAGTACAAAAAAAACAAAAAAGAGCCGAGTCATTTTAATCAAGTTCATCCACCTCTTTTGGCCTCGGCTTCCTTATCAGGAAGTTGGGGAATAATAATGATCGCAAAACTACTGGGAGAATTTTTTTAAAGAATACACGTGACATATGACATACAAATCTCAATGTCGGGGTGCAGAGGAGTTCAATAAATGTCATTCCCCCTTTCCTTTCTGTGTCAAAGGTGAAAGCTCCCCGAGGGCAGGGGCAGTGCCTGTGTCCTTAGCTTGGCGCATGAGACGGGTGTCACTACTTGATGAATAAATCCATGAAGGAATGAGCAAACAAATGGACTGTTACCGCATCTGTAATTTTCTCACGACACTCTACTTTTCCCCCACATCCACCCTATTTGCAGCTCGAGGTCTTCCTCATGTTCCCAGGTAAACAAGATGACACCACCTCGCCTCCGGAGCATAAAG